TACATTTTTACATCTCTCTTGGCTTTCTAAAATACAGCAACTACTGCTCTCCTCTGCCGAGTCCCTAAGTGAGGCTCTTTGAGGTTACCGAATTACCTATGGCTGTTTTTCACCTTGGTGGCATAGTAAACTAATCATTCTGCCCTTAGTCTCTGACATCGTGTATGCAGTAAACCTGCCTCTTGGGTTCTGGATGAAAAGCTAATCATGCTGATACTGTGAGTCCTCCATATACTATCAACTGAGCAGTGCCAACATTTTTCTCAACACAATCAAGACATTGAAGATATCATTTTGTGTTCAAGAAAATCATTTTATTCTGATTCACATTTATCTTAAAAATATATCCAGCAAATATTACAAAACATGCTATATATAGTATATTTATTTACAGTATTATTCACTTATTTATAACATATGACACCAGCTATAAACCTTGCTGCCCTTGTCTTATTCGTAATTGCCTCCTGAGACTCAGCAGAGCAGCCCATGCTTGTTTGCTCAGGGGTCTCAGAGCTGTTGCCAGTCTGGCGATGTCACACCACTGGTAACACTGTTAAAAAGTAATCACAGGCAATTGCAGAATATGACCAGACAGCACTGACCACTCATGACCGAACCTGTCAGCAAAACCAAGAAAAACAAGAATCTCACTGAATCTCACTTTGTGATCATTGTTTTGTGTCATGTTAGAGTCATCACTGCCTGTAAATGGAAATTTTCCCCTGAAATATTCTAAAACTGTGTTTGACTTTTTCCTGTTGCTGGGGACAGACAGTGTAGGCACAGGGGTGTGGATGAATATTCGATGTATTAGCACCACGCAGTCAGGTAACACTATGCACGGACCCCCTGAGGATGCTGGGAACGGGATCGTCAGGATCAAAGGGAACGTGGAACACAGCAGAACGAGGGATCTCAGGGCTTAGGGGCTCATTAGGAATATTATAAAGGTAAGGCTGGGAATTAATTCTGAGACAGTCTTAATACAAAACCCTGGAAAGGATGGCTTATACATGTTTTACTGGCAAAGGTAGGGGATTTGGCTGTAGTTAAAAAGTACTGATCTTGTGTCATTATGCTCATAATAATTAATCTCACAGAGAGATGTTTTCTGACCTTGAATTATAAGTTCTGTATATGACTGAAGCAGATACCAGTATTATAGTCATCATAGTAAAGAAAGAAGAAAAAATGTTGCCTATTGTCTTTCTTTTTAGTTATTATTTAAATTTGGCCTTTAACACATTCATTGCATTGTGATCTATAGTTTTAGCATTGTCAGCACTAGACGGTTACTGCTGTTGCTGTGTATGGCTGAAATATCAACAACATGACCAACCACCCTGCCAGTATTACGTCTGCTGAATAAGATTTGAATTTGGAAAAAAAAAAAAAGATTTGATTTATGTAGATCTTAGTTTTTCTTTTTAATCTTATGTGAATTTCTTGTTTTTATACTCCCTTTATTGGACGTTTCTTGTTGTATTTTGATGTAATGCATTTTGTGAAGCACTTTGTCAGTGTAGTTTTGGAAAGCTTAACATAATTACAATAACTTACTTATATAGTGCAGCTCAAAATTTATGGATTATTTGCAATGGTATTATATTTTAGGTTTTGCTACCGTAAACTTGTTTGTACTGGACATGGATGAATTATGGCAGGAAGAGGGGGAAAAAAGCTTTGAGCTCAACAAAGTGATGGGAAAAGGCCTTTGGGGAGTTGTCCGTTCACCTGCTGTTATTCATGTACCATATGTTTTCTGTGGTTCTGACTCCTTCTGGAAAAAGTAACACAAAACAACTGTATAATCAGCCATTTTACATAAAATACCAAGTGGCATAATGTTTTGACTCACTATGTAAAAAGCACTATGGTTGCAGACATTATCTTTAATCCCTCATCATTTCCCACTCTTTATAACTCTTGGTCAATGGTGAAAACAGAAATCAATCCATCAATTAAACCAACCATTATCAGAGTTTAAGATGAAGTGAGGATGGCAAGCCAGCTGTTCACATACCATGTTTCCTCGCCTTTGTTATGAAGTTGTGTGTGTGTCTGTTATAATGAGATCAGGCAGGTATTCATAGTGTCCATATGCACAGTAAACACCCAGGAGCAACACTCCATCGGTGTATTTAGCATGTGAAAAAAGAAAGATAGAGAGGGGTGAGACTGCACCACCATCTGGGCAAGGGTGTCAGAATCCAACAGAGGATGATGGAGAGCTTCACCCAGATATCTTGGGGGTTAGCAATAGAGGCAAAGCTCTCATTAACATCAAAGATAATCAGATCCTGAAACATGAGTCTTTGGGACCCATGGCTGTGTATCAATGTTGTGTTCATTTGTAATCAGGTGATGATGATTGAGGACTCCAAGGAGGCCAGGGGCGAAGCTTTGTTAAGTCATTGTAAAGAATGTTTCTAAGACACAATACTGCATCATCTTGGTAACTTTTACAGGGGAAAAGAGATTTAACTAGGGATGTCCGGATTTGATCTTTAACGATCTGTATCAGCACTGATCAAGACACTTTTTTAACTGATTGGTATCGGCTATGTTGAGCTTTATTGATCCGATGAATCCGTTTTACGTCAGCTGTCACACAGGTGTTTTTACTCACAAAGCTTTCATGCACAGTGCAGCCATCATCAACTCTCTGCTGTTTCTTTCCTCCACTCTGCTCTGTGTGTGTGAGAGAGCAGGAGCAGCCCCGCCTGCTGCGGAGTTTCACTGCGGGCAGGCCCGTGCTCAGAGGGGAAGAGCGGTAGAGATCCAACACATCTTCACTGAACACGCCACTGCAAGTGCAACACAGCCCCATGAACCACAAGCTAATAGGCGTAATTAATTAATTTAATCCATGCAAAAGATGTACAGACGACGGAAATAAACAGTTAAAGGATTACAGACAGTACATTCAGGTAACCCAAGGCTGCACCGAAGCACCAAACACTAGAGACAGAAACTCCCTCCAGACAGCAACAAGACCAAAAAGATTACAGAGGTCTTGTAATTTTATTGAGTAAATTAATAAATAAAAATTAAGAAGGAGCTCCGATGCAATGCAGAGCTAATTAATTGTCAAGCTTATACACTGGATTGATTTTAGTAGGTTTAATGTACTTTAAGTGTGAACTGTGCAACTGTCTTATCTGGACTGAGTATCAGGAGATAATAAATGACTTTGATCAGATCGGGGCTAAAAAAATTTGATTTTGATATTTAACCAAACATTTTCTAGTCAACCTTGATCAAGGCTGTGCAGAATAGCATTACAGTTTTCATCATTTTTCCCCAAAAAAACATTGAAAATCTAAAGTTTTGCCAGATTTATGTTCTGTGTCAAAATGTAGAATGTAATTTACATATAAACAGAGGTAAGCTCCAGTAACTACAGTGCAGTCTGTAGAATAAGTCAAAGCATTTCAGTCCTTGAAAGACATGCAGAATGTTTCAGGTACTCGCTGCTTGTTGTATATGTTCAAAGATTTTCACACCATGCAGAGTTTCTGAGTTATTTGCATATAATATAGCATATGAACTTCCTCCTTGCTTTACCCAACCTGTGACTGCTACTACTCTTTTCCAAGCATACAGACATGGACTACACAATAAAACAAATATAACTAGTCAAGGACACAATCACACATTGACACACACATGCTGTACACACATATTCACATTTTATGAGGCATTTGTAACAGTTCACCATAACAGCTGGAGGCTGGAATGAGAGAAACTGAGGGGAGAGATACTGTATCACTCTATTTTGACATTCAAATTAAAAAACTCAGAGTGTGCTTTATCCAAGATACGGTCTTAGAATGTTTTATTTAGAAAGATCAGAAACCATTGTTAAAGGAGTAGTTCGATATTTTGGGAAATATACTTTCTTGCAGAGTTATTTGAGAAGATTAATACCAGGCTCATGTCTGTACAGTAAAACATGAAGCTTTCACCAGCAGCTTGTTAGCTTAGTTTAGCATACGGACTGGAAACAGGGGGAAACACCTGGCCTAGATTATACAGATACTAAATATTAAGCATGTTCCTGGAGTTTACTTTCTATATTCTAAAACGAATCAGCATCCCTATAGTACTGGATATTAGAAATTTAAATATTTGTTATCTGAATTTAAACAGAAATATTAAATACAAAATAATGTATTTTTTTTTTTTTTTCAAAGAATAACCATTTTTATATGAAGCGAGTAATATGCCATACTGTTGAGAAAAGTTAGGTTCCAAGGCTGGATTTTTTTTGTCATTCGTTATTTTGATTTTTCAAGTTTTGATTTAAGTTTTCTTACTTTCGGAACGTAATGACACATAATGTTAAAGTGTAATTTTTAATATAAAGCATATTAGCTGAAATTCAATCTCTAAAACAATGTAGTAGACAGTTTAAGCCAGAGTAGTCATTGTTAAGCTTTTAAAAGTTTATGAAACAGTGATAAAAACTTTTGTAATTTTCCTGAATATGCATGCAAGACTGGGGGCATAGTTTTATTCTTTTAATACTCTACCTCCTTTTATCGTGTGCTAACTGTTGTGTGGGAAGTAGAGGAGCAAATCCCATTGGCATCTGTTATTTAATTGTTAATGCTAAGCATAAGGTTATGTTACTTGTGTTCCATGTTGGCCTCACTCTCCTTGTTAACATGGGTCCCAGGGTACATTTTGTTACAGTGCTGCATGATTCATCAGTGCAGTCAGGGTCAGGAGATATATGCACAGTATTTCTCAGGCGTGAAACCAAACACTTAAGACTTCTGTCAGGAGAATACTGGAGCAGTTGACACTCTTCTCGGGCTGCCTAGTGATATCTGGATTACAATGATACAGCTCCTTATATTAATAAATTACCTTTTTTTTTTCAATTAGCAGTTGTTGTTTTTTTAAAAAAGGTTAACAACTTAAGAACCTTACCAAAATGGATCAAGAAGCGTCCCAAGTATCGTTCAGACGTCTGACTGAAGCTCATAAAGATGGCTGAGAAGATCAAGAGCTACAGGACTGCTCCCTTCGACGGCAGGTTCCCCAACACCAACCAGACCCGCAACTGTTTCCAGAACTACCTGGACTTTCATAGGTGCAACAAGGCCCTGTCAGCCAAAGACCAGGATGTGGCTCCCTGTGATTGGTACCAGAGGGTTTACAAGAGTCTGTGTCCCATGAGCTGGGTCGGCAAATGGGACGAGCAGATAAAGAATGGAAGTTTCCCAGGGAAGATCTAAAATCATCAGGACAGTCCACTGCAGGACATTCTGTTACTCTCACCTTTATCTCTGTAGAGTGCCTAAGGACATCTTCAAACAGCTTTCACATTGTCATCAACATTGATGTCATTAACCTTATTAACTTAAACACGCACAACTTTTTACCCTTCATGTTAAGGTCTGAAGTTTTTTTTTCCTGTCTCTATTGTGAACTACTCTTCAGCAGTGCAGATTTAATTAAAATGATGTTGTT